AGAACTTTAACAGTGTCAACTGCTTTCAAAACATGATCATTCAGAGAAATAGATAAAGGAATAAAGTTCCTTTTACTAAAACTAATGTCCATAGTACAACATTTCTTGGGGTTAAGCTTCATATTGCTACCTGAAGCCCAATTATGTAGCGCAGTTGCACATGATTGAAGTTCAGATTGGTTAACAATATTACGATACTCGATTAATGCAAGATCATCGACATATTTGAAATGTTTAACAGGAGCATTTTCAGGGGGGGAAGACATTATTAATCATTGTACAGAAGACGACGGGGCCAATTTTGGTCCCTTGAGGGACACCAAAATTGACAATACAACTATCAGATAAGTGAACAAAATGGAAGACACAGTAAAAGGAATTTCAGCATGCCGATATAGCGAGTCCATAAGACTAATTAAGCAATGAGATGTAGACACTTTTCGCTGATTCCCAAACTGCATCGGGTCAAGCATGGTATTCATTTCTTTCAATGTATCTCTCGCCACAAAGTGTTCCGCAATTTTTGCAAAATGGTCGGTAAGTGCAATAGGTCGTATATTATCAAGTGTAGCAGAAAGCTTCGGATCCTTAGTGATGGTAACTACATGGGCACGTTTCCATTCACTGGGCACCTCAAGCGCACGGTAAGACGCATTAATAATACATGATAGAGGTTCGGCCAATTCATATGAGAATGTTTTAATGAATCGAGCAGAAATCATGTCTGGACCACCAGCCTTCCTAGTATTCAGTTTATTGATGATTCTGACGACATCCCATGGTTGAATGTATCAGGGTTCAGCCGCAGGCAAAAACACCGGTAGGGATAGTCTGTCTAGTGGTTTAAGATTTTTACCTATGCTGCTAAGGTGAGTACAAACAGCGTTAGCAGTCTCCATGTGATTGTTGCAATTAGGAACTGCTAATTCTTTCTGTGAACTTTGACCAGTCATAACACGTAAATTTTTATACCATTCACTTGGTGAGGATCGTTTGAGATGCTGAATCTTATTAACATAAAATAGATTTTTTGCTTCTCTAATTAGACGATTAATCTTGTTTCTTAGTTGACGCCAAAGGTGATCATGATTGTTTGCGAATGCTTTTTGTCTCTTGGCAATAAGTGCTTTAATTTGCAATGACATCCACGGTTTATCGGTGGGATGGCGCTTAACCACACATTTTGGAAAATACTTGTCAATTGATTAATGCAAGGTTTGGTAAAAGTTAGAACACATAGTTTGCATATTGTTCTCGTTATACACTTCCATCAACTCATAATCAACAAGCCACTGCCCATATGCTCGTAACTTACTGTCCGGCATGGGACGCACAATGTGTTTTCTTATAAAGTTAGATTTCGTAGCAGTTACTTTGGGTTTAAAAAGAACACAATTGTGATCCGACAGTCCAATAGGAGGCAAAATGACAGGGCGCAGATATTTTGAACTAACGTTTGTAAGGATTTTGTCCAAAATTGAACTGCCTCTTGTAGGTTTGTTGACCACTTGTTTAATTGAACTAGATAGAACACAGTTCAAGTCGAGGTGGTTGAAATCTCCAACTATACAAATACCACTACTGGGGTGTTTGGACGAAACACTATCAATCGTAGAGCTCAAGTGATCAATGAGTTTTTCAGCAACAGGGCTATTGGGCGGATAGTAAATCACACCTACCACAAAACTGGTGACGAACCTGGGTAGATGGGAAGGTCTCACGCTGACCCATAAAGCTTCAATGTCATCTGGTACAAAAATGTTGGTAAGCACCTTGCATTTAATGCTGCTCTTAACATACAGGGCCACACCACCGCCACGTTTATCGGTTCTAGGCCTGGAAAAAGTACAATACCCGTCAATGTTCGAAAGTTCAGGAGGTAAGTTAGCAGGGAACCAAGATTCGGTGATTCCAGCGACGTCGACATTGTTGGATTCCAACACAACACTTAATTCATTAAGTTTGTTATTAAGCGACCTCGGGTTACAAAAGAAAAATATTGGCAGTTGATCATGACATCCATGGCTACCATTATGATTACAAACAATCTTGATCAAATTACCAGAAATGCAACCTCTGTCGGTATTTGTAAAAGTACTTGTAGAAGATCTCTGCTGTATACGGGTTGTAATACGCCTCAACTTGTTACGCCCACCCCTACAACCACGGGGTTTAGTGCATGCTATTCCAAGACGGTTCAGTGATTGAAACAAAGCACTAGATGGCTTATGTTTTAAATTGCAAAGGCTGAGTAACATCTGCCTCGAATAGTAGCGATGCATTCTAATGTTACGTAATCTCAACAAAGGTCTAATATTACGTAATCTCAACAAATAAGCGGCTCGTAGAAATCTTCCGAGGAGCTCGCGGTAGACGTAGACTCAGGCTTTGTTAAGCGTGCGAATGGAATCAATAGGCCTAGCTTTAAACACCGGCAAAAAACACAAAAAAACACGGACGCCGAGGCAGAAAATGGCTCAAAAACACCAAAAAGAGTCCACACAACAGCAACAACAACAACAAACAGCAAACACAGGAACCAAACAGGAGTAAAATTAAAGGGAAACAATAATTCCCAAAGCTGCCGATTGAGGCGCGTCCGTTCACATGTTTATTATCCTTTATTTATGTTTATTATCCTATATTTTCTCCCCATCCTCATTCTTACCCTCATGTTCTACTTTTCCTGCCATACTCTTTCTTTACTTCTCATTTTCATTCTCATTTTTTTTTTCTTACATCCCTTCTCTCCTTCTTTCAATATTTATTTTAATTTATTTGGACATACTGTACATTCTATATAAGGACATACATTTTATATAAGGACATACATTCTATATAAGGCTTACTATCCTAAAACCAGCATCAGTGACCAAAAATTGACTTTAATATATTCTTATTCGCCACATTGTAAGCTTTAAAATGATGGGTCATTTAATGGAATCGATTTAATATTGCCAAAGTTATGAGTAAAAATATTATGGCTTCCCTGTTCTAAAGTATACAATACTGGCACATTCTTATGCTAATTATACAGCGAGAGTATGCTGGTTTTAGGATGACATGTCTTGTTGTTTTATTAGGACCCATTGATTGTATATTATCATCATTCTTATAAACTCTCACAAAATTTTGTTGTGTTTGCAGTGGTGAGCCAATCCCCCGTGTGACATATACGGAGGATGAGATCAAAACATGGACAACAATATTTAACAAGTTGACAGAGTTGTACCCCACACATGCCTGCAGTCAGTACAACCACATCTTCCCATTGCTTGTCCAGAACTGTGGCTTCAAAGCAGGAAATATCCCGCAGCTACAAGATGTTTCCAACTTTCTTAAAGGTAATAGTAATTATTTTGGGTAACCACCATAAATATTTATTATAATTTGAGTGTAATTAATAGTTACAGGATATAAATATACCGCAGTTCCTCAGGTATAATCCCACCTCGGGTATTATCCCACCCCTGATTTTACGCCAAAGTTTGCGTACAAGCATTTCCTAGCTAGGTCTAGGCTAGGTCAGTAAATTTAACAAATGCTCAATAATATAAAGGAATTAGCTCCTAATTCAGCAAACTTCAAACTCTTCCAATTGATTAGACCAGTCATTGGTCGCCGTAAAGTTGAATACAAAGCCCATTCTTGTTTACTGTTGCTAAAAATAAACAGCTCGCTAACTGCGGCTAAAAATAGACAATGCCGCGATCCGTCCGTAAAGAGACCCGGCCACTGGGTTGAGCAGAGTGTTAATTTGCATCGCAAAAACTCACATGCTCCACAGCTGCGGCTAAAGGTAGACAACACCGCACTCCGTCCATAAAGAGACCCGCCCAGTGTGCTGATTGATTCATTAATTCACAGCGTGAAGACTTGCATGTTCCACAGAGACTCGCTGCTAAAAATAACTTGTTACATCATGCAGTTACAAGTGGGCGGTCTTCAAATGCAATCGGTGATTGATTGGATTGGTTGTTGCTAGGCAAAAAATAACCTACGACATCAAAATACAACTTTAGGATAGTCTCGTCTAGCACCAAGTAAGACCAAGATATGGCCTCCTACTAGGCGCATAGGCCTACTAACTATAATTAGGGTGTTCCCTTCCCTTTTGATGCTCGAGTAAAGTCTGATTTCTTCACCGGAATATAGTTTTGGATCCACCACTTCGAAAGAGGATCATATTTTGTTTTGTTCAGGTATCATCTGGTATAATCCCCCCTCCCCACCAAAATTGGGCCAATTTTTCGCGTTCATGGATAGTGGGATTATAATGTATATAGGGAACTAAGGTATATGAAATGTAACAGAAAAAGAGTCTGCCAAAAAATGATAAAATTCAGCCTCTACTGGTGTTTCAACCTCGGACCTTCCTTATACATGGCGAACGTCATAATCTCTTGACCATGAAGGTCGTGCGGTAATTTTGGCGCCAGTAAAACTTGAGTTTTTTTGGTTTTTTTTCATTCTTTTATCATGTCTAACATGGGAAAAACTCCAAAACAACAAGTGGAATAATGCAATGAATACTATAAATTGAAACGTAACAGACGAGGAATCTTACAAAGAAAAAAAACCTGCATTGAATTTGATAATAACTTTAAAACTTTTAGCATTAGATAGAGTAGATAATAATAAATACTTTATTTTCTTTTTACGTTATTTAAGATTTTAGCAATAATAAAACGTTATATGATTTCATTCATTAATATTGTAGATTGTACTGGATTCACCCTGCGACCAGTTGCTGGGCTTCTGTCATCACGTGACTTCCTTGCGGGACTTGCATTCCGTGTTTTCCACTCGACACAGTACATCCGTCATGGGTCAGCTCCTATGTACACGCCAGAGCCGTACGTCCTTATGATTATTACTATGAGTTTTAATGTAAACAATATCATTTGTTTATTCTTGGTTTAATTTTAAATCAGGTGTTCTGTGCATTCTTTATTTTGATGTGGGGTGGGAGTGTAACTTGGTGCATTAAATTTACCTCTCTTTATTTCAGGGATGTATGCCATGAGTTATTGGGTCATGTTCCGCTCTTTGCTGATCCTGTGTTTGCCCAGTTTTCTCAGGTACACTCAACACTCATTTATTACCTTATACAGTGCACCCTCCAATTTAAGAAACCCTTTAATTCCGAGACCTCTCTATATCAAGACCACTCTTTCAAAGAAACCTATTCTGCATTCCAACATTAAAAAATTGAAGAAATAAACGTCACGGCAACTCTGCTATTTAAACAGAGCATTAGCATTCTTTAAATCAGTCTTGAATTTTATTAAATTATGAAAGTAATGAATGCATTATTCTGTCTTGTAGGAGATTGGTCTAGCTTCACTTGGTTCACCAGATGAATATGTTGAGAAACTTGCAACCGTGAGTAATCATCAACCTAAAATAATATATGTATTATTCTTTGCAGGGATGCATTCAGGGTGGGCGGAGCCGTTGGAGCCGCGGCTTTTCTCCCCTTTGTAAACAGTGTTAGAATTTTAAAGCTTGTTCAATAGGCCTACAAATTCTTTCCTGAGCTCACTCAAAATGAATACTTCTCTAAAATATGTAAATATGCATCAGCACATTATAATACATATAGTTTGGTATTGATTTAAATGCTACACAATTTCTAATTGACTCCTTCTAGTATAGGTTTGTGACCCGTGCTCTAATAGAAACCCACCATAAACTTCTATCAAGGAAAGTCACTCGCTAACCTGATAGTAACCCAGTGGAATATTCATTAGAATAATCAATTTTTCACTGTACACGATTATACAAAAAATAATTTTCGGTTAATAACGGCTACTGCTCGAAGTGTGCATTTAGCAAACTTACTAAACAAAAAAAAATAAACATAATTTTGTCTTAAATCTATAAATTCCAGGTCATGTCTTTTAAAATACAGAAATGTTATATTGTATGGTTCAGTTTATAAAGCATTTATTAATTTTTGTTTGACTAATATACCACCAAAGTAGCAGTAATAATAATAATGATGATGACAATGCAGATTATGATTTTAGATAATAATATTAAAAATTGTGCTAAAGGCGAAAAGGAAAGTTTGATTTCCTTTTTTTCCGTTTTGATTTCCTTTTTTTCCGTTTTGATTTGTCAATCATAATTATTATAGTAGTTAAAGCTTAGTATAGTTGAGCCTATAAGTTGTCCTGGATATTATGTAGATCTTTATGGTTGCCTGAAAATCCCTGATAAAAGATCATGAGAAATTTGTTGGCATTTCATTTTGACTTTAATATGGTAATGTGACGATGATGATAAATTTTACTATATAAAGTATCCACCACTATTGAGTTATTATAATTATTGTTAAGGCTTAGTAATATTAGACAATGATGCATCTATTGCAATTTTCACTTTATCCTCTCAAAAGTCCTTTAACATTCAGAGTGCTCTACCTCCCAGGGGGATTAGTCCCCTGCCCCAGGTACCTGTGCCCCCCACCCAGCCATAGGAATGGAAACACCCCCATATTCACTTGGTACTCTAATTGCCTCGGAAAACGGCTCCTCCCCCTTTCAAAATCGTGGCTTCATCCCTGATTCTTAGCACTTTTTAAATTAATGAAAGGTTTTTAACTATCAATGCATTAGGATGTTGTTGATAGTAGTTTTCTTTGTTTTTAGTGTTACTGGTTCACCGTTGAATTTGGACTGTGTCGTCAAAACAATCAGTTGAAGGCTTACGGAGCTGGATTGTTGTCATCATTTGGAGAACTTCAGGTTAGAAATTGATAATAAAGATAAATGGAAATAATGTTGATGGACTAAAGTGATTCTAAATTGGATACTGATAATTGTGATAACTAGCTTATCTGTCTCTTTTTTTTTCATATTATTATAGCTGCAATTTTGATTAAAATAGACATTTAAAATTTACAAGGAAATGTTTGGAGGAAATTTATTTGAACCTACATTAAGTTCTGTTTGTAATCCTCCCTGCTACCGTGGAAGTACATTATAATGATTATTTTAGTGTGAGCATAGAAAAAAACTAATGTTCATAGTGGAATTAAAGAGATTTATTAGACAGTCAGCCAACACAGATACTCACTTTATTTGCATTAATGTTTATCAATAAAGAAACAAAATGAAAAAAAGAATACTGTTATTTTGCTATTATGCTAATTAGTGAACAATTACTTTGTTTTGTCTAACTTCAGAGGTAAAGATGTTGATAATTAAAATTTGTATGGTGAAAATGATGATAGTGATAATGGTTAGTTATTGTTGAGGATATTGTTTTCTACAATCTTATTAACAGTACTGTCTCTCAGACAAGCCCAAGGTGTTGCCCTTTGAACCAAGCAAGACAGCCGAACAGAAATACCCAATCACAGAGTTCCAGCCAGTCTACTTTGAGTCAGACAGCTTTGAAGATGCCATTGAGAAAATGAAGTAAGATATACTATTATAAAATTATATAAATATTGACTAATTGATTAATTGAATTTATTTGTGGAAGCAGTTTGGCGCAGCGGGAACGGTTTGGTTTCCCAACCTTGAGGCAGGGGTTTCAATCCCTCGCTGTGCATTTCGCTTGTGTCCTTGAGTAAGACACTTTATCTGCATTGCTTCTCTTCACCAAGGAGTATAAATGGGGACCTGGTGGGGTTACTTGTTTCTGCGCTGGTTACCAGCAGCAACACTTAGCATGAGGACCCAATGACCAGGGAAAAAGAACCTCAGCGCTTTGTTACTTTAAAAGAAAGGCGCTATATAAGTAACAAGTAACAAGTATTCGAGTCATAAAATACATACAAAAAAAAAAAACAATTTACAAAATACTGACTGGAAAATTACACAAAGACATGACCCTAATTACAAAGAAAAGCCCAAAAAAGTAAAACTTATTTCCATTGGTGTCCTTGCAAACTGAGAAATATAATTGCAAAGTTTCTCAATGTAACAGAAAAAAAAACAGTTTAAAATGTAATAAAACAGATGACAAAATGATAATGAATGTATAAATGAAGTTATATAAATAATAACAATGGTCAAACATTTCCATCTGTTTTTATTGATTTTTATGTTGTTAAATTTTGGTATTGATAATAATGATGACAATAATTTTATATATGTATTAGTACCAAACCTGTTGTGGCTTTTATCCACTGAAAATGAGTAAGAAGTAATAATAGCAGTGATAAATTATTGACTAATTGATAGATATTGATTGATACACATAAGAAGGAACTTTTCTAATTCAATATATTGCCCTTCTATACCATCGTCATCCATTATAATGTTCACAATGCTAATAGAATTTGTAGAGACCGTCTGAGGTACCATTAAGGTCTGTTTATACTTCAACAATAACGATAAAAAAGCTAAAAAGCAATTGTTCCTATAGAAAATAAAAGAAATAAGAGAAGTTATTGTTGAAGTATGGACAGGCCTTTATCATAATCTTCATCACAGTCATCATCACCATTGCAATCATTGTCTTTCTTGTCAGCATCATAGTCATAGTATTTTTATTATCATTATCACCATCTTCAACATCATAATTATTATTAGCAAGGTATGTTTTTTCACTGAACATTTCTTTCTTGCTAAACAAAATATAAATATAACAAGTTAATCTTCTTTGTTAAATGATTGTGGGGCCATATGAGGACATTTTAAGAAAATATTAGTGAATACATGTTTGTTGCTCACATTTCAGAACTTTCGCCGCAAGCATTCCCAGGCCGTTCTCAGTACACTACAACCCCTACACACAGACAGTGGAAGTGTTGGACAAAAAGGACAAATTGAAAGATTTAGCAACAAACATCAAAGGTTTGTTCTTTATTTTACATTATAACACACCTAAATAGATCCCTGTCATTTGATTAGTGGATTTTGTACCATGTGACATTGTTTACTTTGCCCATTTCATTACACATTATGAAAAATTAGTTCCACCATGCATTTTCTTCCCACACGTTTTTGCCCATTGCACGTTGCCTATGGATACGAATGCCTTATAATAACCTAATACAGTATTTTGATTGGTTAAAAAATCATAAGACTGACTTTTTCTGGAAAGTTAAATACATGAAATGAAAGTTAAATACATGAAATGAAAGTTAAATACATGAAATGGCATCACATCACCTACTTTTTTCAGATTCAGTAGGGTGACTCGGGGGGCACTAGCATCCCCGTTTTGCCACAAAATTTTAAAATTTTCAATATGTAATGGAAAGAATATTTTCATGAGTTGAAAGATTGACTGTTCCACTTAAAGTGTACGGATGGATTTCTAGCTTGGCTGTGTGTGGAGGTCCAGGTTAGGTTAGGCCGAACCGATTCAAGCAGTATGGGCTTGGGCCTGAGGGTGGGGGTTGGGTGAAGTGTTGGTCCGTGGCCAGGAAGAGCCTAGGCCTATAGCCTATTCCCCAAGCATGTGACAGGCATTACTTTTACAGTCTGGGACACTTGCGTGGAAGGTGATCAAATGAAAAGGATCTATTTTGGTTTGTAATAAAACAAATAATGAATGTTTTGTATTCGTGCAATGGAAAGAATATTTTCATGAGTTGAAAGATTGACTGTTTCATTAAACTCTACTCCACCTCGTTGAATGGAACAGTCAGTCTTTCAACTCATATAAATATTCTTCCCATTACACTCATAAACATTCATTTGTATATTAATTCATTCAGACATCAGCCATGGCAGCCACATTGCTAAATTGCCTGATTTTTATTTACAAAATAACTATCTAATAAAAACAAATGCCCTTCCAACATAACTATATTCTATACATTCCATATATATATACATACTTTTGGGAAATAAGACTTGTCAATGGAAACTTAGAGTAGATACTACATCATGACATATGGGATTTTCTATTGAGGCCTAGACTGCCTACCCTAATCATCAGTATTTGTTTAATAATAATATTGTATTTAAAACATTGTTTAAATAAGTAATCTTGTGAAACAAATGGCTATATTGTGAAAGCTTATTTCAAGAAAATTTTATACCCAGTGGTAGCGCCAGCGGGAGAGACCCCCTGTCAGACATGTCTGGGTCCCTTGACTCCACAACTTGCCTATCTAAATAACGTTATTTTTATTGCTAATCCCTAATATTATGGTCTAAAAGCACAATATGGGCCATACTAAGCCATATATATACAGTACTCTTCCCATCAACCCTTTCAAGGATTTTTTTTTCCAGGACCCTGGCCTAGGCTCTAGTCAGCCCCCCTTGGTTTGGACCACCTTTTGGACCCCATGTCAGCAAATTTCTGGAGCCACCACTGTTTACACCCAATAGCATTGTGTTAGAAATCTCAGAAAGATAATAAGTACTTCCTGGGTAGTGATTTTTCAATTCTCCTAACTAGTTTTTGAGTGCTTTACAAACAGACCAATGTACAGTGTCATCTTTAATTACAGTAACAAGTATAAAATAATGATAATGAATCGTAATTTGCTTACATATTGTGTTTTTATTTCAGGAGAGCTGATCACACTCATTGACGCAATCAATAAGGTCCAATAAGAGGTTAAACCAAAGACAACAACTGCCTTGTTTTCAATTATTCTGAGCCATCAGGACAATATTGATGTCAACAAAGTAGTGACTGGTTAGGTTGCTTAAGAAATGTGAAGTACTCTTTAACAATGTAATATATTTTGCACTAATCCACAAGTTCACAACAATCAAGTTGTTTATAATATAGTTATAATATAGTTATTTTCCTACTCACTTTTATTGATCGTTGGAGGAGTGGGGAATTCTTCGTGGAAAATCAAGGGGGAAATTGTTAGATTAGATCAATGAAAGTGGACATAGTAGTAGTCCTTATCAATTCATTAACAAGAATAACTTTTCCAATCTTCTAATCCATTTTATACAGCCAGAGTTAGTTTCAACCTAGGCAAACCTTGCTAAAAAGGTACACTTTCTCCATCAAAAGGCTTTTTCTATAAATAGAATGACCTGTTCGAAGCACAAACTCATGTTAGACCAAACCCAGTACCGTTACAAATTTATTCGTGCAGGAAATCCACTCATGGTAGAAGGTTATAACTAAGTCAGCTTTGAAATATATATTATACTGTATTAATCAGTTATATTAATTGAGAAAGATATTTGTGTATTGTGCAAGGGAAATGGATAGGGCCTAGTAATTTCATAACTGTACAAAAAGTATCATAATTAATTTTGTTAATATTCAAAAAGTTTACTGGGACTATATCATTACATGATTAAGGAATCTCTTCAGTTAAGCAGCAGTCTCGCATGCATTGTCTATCAGTATATCAAAACCAATCAAATGGTAAGAGATCAGGACGTTTACATTTTTACCAGCCAGCTGACAATAAATGAGACAAACACAAAATTAAATGTTTACATTTCCAAAATCGGAATTTTATTTGTCTGACTTCCTGATCAGACTTAGTATACATAAGAAAAAAAGCATACCCATTCTCACAACACCAAAACCATTATCACCATGTACAGTTACTTTTTCAAAATACACATTGTCTATCAGTAACTTATGAATATATATCTACCAGATTGTTAAGACAACTGTACATTCATTCATTCATTCATTCTTTATTCAGCCTTATTATTCAGTAACTTATGAATATATATCTACCAGATTGTTAAGACAACTGTACACTCATTCATTCATTCTTTATTCAGCCAATGAAATAACATACAATACAATGAAAGGAAATTTAACTAAGACAATATATAATATATAAGTTGGCTAGGATTAACTATAGTGTGAAAAACACTCTGGCTCTCAGGCCTGTTAGTCCGGTCTTAGGATTATTTTAACATAGATATAAATTATACAGACAGTGATTAAATTAAACAATAATGTAAGTAAAATCAATTGAAAAGCAAAGCATATAACAATAAAGTAATATTAATAAAGTGATATGAAATTGTGACATGAAACTAAACAATTACAAATTAAAGTAAATCAAAACTTTTTAATTGTACACAGATTAGATCTTGTGCAATTTTCTTTGTTTTTAACAGGATAAGTTAATCTTGGAATTTTTACAAGGGTGCCCACCCTCACAATTACTGTGTGCAATTCCTTAATTATATCTGAGGAGATTCTATAGCACCCTCTTCAGGATTTGAACTTTGGTTGAATATTTTATGTACTGATTAGGTATATTGTATACTAACACTGTACAGTTTTGAGTTATTTATTGATTTATAGGTAATAAAGGTGAAAACAACTGTAAAGTACATTGAGTTCTTTTTTAATTAATTTGATTTATTGTGATTTGTTACTATGTATTAGTGGATGCCAACCATTAGACCACTGTTTTTGATAAGTGGTCTCAAATTGCAAGAAAACAGTGTGATGATTTTGGTTCCCTGCACTAGTCAGTTTTTGTAGTTTTTCGTTTTTTTTTTTTTTGGTTAATTTTAGGATAGTCTGTTATTGTTTTTTTCTCTGTTCTTTAAATCTGCATCATTTTGTCTGCTTTTTCTTTACATTCACCCTACTACCCTTTCTTTACTTGGAAATGACACTTTTTTGACCTTGTTTATTTGCACCTTATAAATCGACGTATTATTATTATTATTATTATTACAACTATTGAAACATCTTGCTTATTAATAGTACAGTAGAACACCCTCCTTTGGGACATCCCTTATTAAGGGTAAACTTTTGCGTGAAACAAGGGGAAATATACCTTTTACCACTTTGGTCAACCCCCAGTAAAAGGATGGGACACATTTTTGTGTGCTAAATGGTTTGTTTAACTCCTGTTTAGGGGACAATTTAAAAAAATAAAATCTCATCACAACCAAAAAATAAGAAAAATATTGTTGTATTACAATACATTAAATTGTTTTTTAATAGCAATATAAAAATGGACACCTGTGTTAAATCAATTCTTCATAGTAACTATGATAATTCCAGTCAGACATTTTCCAATGTAAATGTTATAGCGTTTTTAGTTGCCTGGTTCTCAAGAGAGCCCTAGTATCCTGATCGGGAGCTAACCGTTAGCACTAACCGTTGGCACCTGTGTGATACTTTTTATTAGCTGATACTTTGGAGAACTTTAATCTTTTTTCTTAGCAATATTGTCGAAATATTGTTTATTGTTTGAAGGTTTGCATGGCGAAGAAGTGAAATGCTTGCGGTACACCACGTAGAGAATGTCTCGACGTTTCGAGTCAGGGAAATACTTTCAACCATGCTAGAAATAATGACACTGTCTTAGCTTTTCTAGCCATGCCCCACCTTCGCACAAAATATGAACACTGGCTTTTGAATTTACCTAGTCTTAGCTATTGTTTAGTTTCCACCAATCAGCAGCAAGTTCTCACTTTCAAATCATATAGGGGCCTAATATTGTCGAACATCTTGCCCATGTTTTGATTATCTATAGAATGGCAATAACATTTATTTTTTAATACGTTTCTACATATTTACATATTTTAACTGGACTAGAACTAGGCCTGTGTATACATTGTGTCTGTTTTTAACATTATTTCAATCTTTTAGTTTTATTTATCAAATTATTATATCAAATATTATAAACTTTAACGGTTACATTATTTCATATAACATATTTTTCAAAAAAATATCTAAACCATTTTAATTAATTAAGTATAAACTCTGAAAGTAAAGTTACGTAGATTGATCAATAAAAATGGACATAGTAATATTCCTTATCTATTCATTAACAAGTTTCGACCTAGGCAAACCTTGCTAAAAGCAACTACAGTAAAAGGGTACATTTTCTCCATCAAAAGGCTTTTTTCTAGTAGACCAATGACCAAACCCAGTACCGTTACGAATTTAATCGTGCGTGAAATCCACACATGATAAAACTTAAACCATTATTTCAGTTGAAAGTTACCAGAATCATCTATCGCCTTGATACTCGTATTGTGCAGCTGTTTTTGTATCCGCTCTTTGATAGTAAAAATGGTAAGTAAAATGTTATATTAAATACAGTGGGGATGCCAGGATTTTCCCGACGGGGGTCGGAGGCCCCGGCAGTTGGGGCCGATTTCCCCGAAAAAAAGTGGGCATGGTCGGGCGTCGCTCAAAATCTCTCGAATGGGGGTGGGTGGGGGAGGGGGTGGCGAAGCTCCAGAAAAATATGACAATTGATCGATTTTGTTTCACTAATACTAATATGTTGAAAATACATTTACATTTTTTGTTTCTCTCCGACGAATTGTGGTTTTTCTCCCCGACGGGGAACAGCAGCCAGCTCTCTCTGGTCCCCGGCTCCCCGCTGGTGCCACCCCATGAGTAAATAGAGTTGTAGTACTAGTAGAATTGAAATTGTGGCAAATAGAAATTGTGTATGGTATCATTTTTTTTGGATAAGTTTTTAATGGTTTTCGAATGTTTTTAGCTCAAATACTTGTCTTCACTGGCAAGCCGTTTTATTTTACAGTAGATGTCACAGTACTTAGTTGGGTACTAATGCTCTTTTTTGTATATTGATTTTGACTGAATTTTTTTATATGCTAGAAATAATTCCATGGAGTAAGAAATAGCCATTGAAAATACAATACACAGGACCTCTAGACAAGCTATTGAAAGAAATCACTTGATTGAACGTAGCTGAGACAGGAATGCTGTGACACGAAAAAGAATTTAAAGTAAACAATTTAATATTGCTGTACTATCAAACTGTGTAATATGCAGATCCTTTGTGGGGAAGACAGTAGGATAGCAAGAATTATCAGACCAGACTTGCTGCAAACAATATGGAAGTGTTTTGAGAGTGCAGTCAGTTGAAACAAGTGTTATTGAACCAATCCAGGGTTGCTGTCTTAATAGCCCAGGTGTCATTTTTTATGTGATTAAGAAGACACAATAATATCGTCGCTCATACCATGAACTTACACAAAGTAAATTTAGATTTAGTATTAGTTTGTGGAGAACATGAATTTCATTTTCATTGTGCATTATTTCATTTCATTTATTTATTTTCCAGATTGTAACAAATAACACAAACCTAGCACTATTCTGGCGGATTGTCAAAAAGCAAACACATTCACTATGTAAAGACTCTCCAACTAGTACTAGAACGGAAAACAAACGGGGTTAATTAAAATAAAAAGCAGACAAAGCAGAGAAAAAAGCACAATCACCAAAAAGAAATAAATCAGTAACAGAAGAAGGATCTTATCACACATCCGTGGGAATGAGATAAAAACGGAGTTAAAAAAAAACATTATTGTCGAGCACTTTTTTATTTAGTTGCTTTAGTTTAATAATTACTAAAAAAGTTTATTGAAAAATACAAATTGTTAACTTAAGCTACTGATACAGAATTAAGTACTTTTATTTTGTTATTCATAAATCAAATTCCATACAGACTGCTGCACTGTGCAGGGACATAGTCTGGTTTCTTCCTGGGGTTGGGTGGGGGTGTATTTAACTTTGAATATCAATGCACCAGCAAACAACTTAAGGGTTATTTGGCTTTAGCAAAATTTAAAAAAATAAAAAGCCTCACTTCCTTCCTCATCATTTTTCCAGCCTAGATAGAGTGATAAAGTAATAAATATTTTTATTGGGCTTGAGACAGGCAGTGGCATATTATGGAAATATCTGCGATTCATTCTAAAACATAATTTGTTGTCTACGAACAAAAATATAAATTAAGCAAAGCTAATTTTTTTTTTTTTTGCCTGTCTTCAAACAAATATTAATTTAAATAAACATTACTGTAATTGAAAATAAAACCCAACAAGCTATATCAATCTAAGATGGCAATTAATTAATTGGTATTAATCAATATGTTATCAATAATGTTCTGTGTATATGATTCAGTAATTCATTATATTTCATCGATATTCTGCTTATTTCAATTAATTGAATACTCGTCAAGGATTTTTCACAGTATTTAGTTCAGCAAATTCAAGTTTGGATTGGGATTGGATTTATTCGGTGTAAACACCAAGGACAGTCCACAAAAGTCTAGAAGAAGACTTATTTCCAGTGGGGTCCTTCTGGTGGTGATTGGGCAGTACACCGGGAGACAATCCCCTACTCTTTTCTGAAGAGTGTTCTGCGTTCTTTAACGTGCACATGTAGTCCAGCAAACTTTGGTTGGTTGCATTTTTTTTTTCTATATTTTTTAAAAATTGGATATGATGTAGAATAGACATAGATAAATCAAAAAAGTATGTGCAACATTTTTTTTTTCATACGTAAGAGGGGTTGCCAGCTGTTTCAAAATGGCCGCGATTTTTTCCTAAAATTGTCACTAATATTGTAAATTTATGTCATTAAAATGCAGTATTCAATTGGAAATCCACTCATAACAATGACAGCAACAGTCAACTAAATATTGTACACATTTTTGAGCTATTACAATTTAAAATGGCTGCCATTTTCCATTAATTTAGCTTTTTAGCATACATATTAATATAATAATAACCGACCTGTACAAAAACTGTGATAAGCTACACATCTAGATGTGTATAAGAGACAGGAATATTTACTCTTAAAGTAAGTTCTTTCATGAGTTGGCATCAATTACCATCCCGATATTGTGCCTGTTGAAATTAGGCTACCTTGTGTTGGCTGTGACGTAGTACGTAACTGTATTTACATATTTTACGCACGCGTAAGCATGACTGTGACGTCAAATCATTAGAAAGCAACTTTAAGCAAAGAAAATAAACTAGTATTAAAGTTCTTATTGTTTAGGCCTTGATACAATTGTAGTTACGAAAGGAATGAGCTGGAGGCTCCGGACGAGCTACTGATGGACGCAACGTCGAGGTATATAGAATCCTTGAAATGAAGACTTGAATCCGGGTTCGTTGGTAAATCGGAACTGTTGTAAAGATCGTAGCGTGTAGGCGGCGTAGGTGCCCATTCCACGGACGGTGCTCTACGATGACCCAGAGGTGAAGTTGGACAAGGTGTGTATCTAGCTGTAAAAAGTGTCAATCATTTAAAATAACCTTTATTCATTTATAAAACACATTACTACATTTGATAAAAGGTAAACATAAAGAAAACTCCTAGGACACTGGCATTCAACTCCAGGATCACGGGCCAACTTCCGCCCGCCAAAAAATTTGATCCGGGCCGCATGCACATGCTCAAAAAGAAATAATTTTCCGGTTGGATTTTATAACAGAAAAAAGTTTTTGTTAATAGAAACACGACCACTTATTCTGGATTATTAACAAGAGTATGGCTTTTTTTCTGAGTGTAACTCACTGTATCTAGTGGTGTAGAGTATTCACATGGGGAGGGGGTTTCTGGGGATAAAGGATTAAGTGGGGTGGAACTGATGATGCGATGTCTAACCATTGGTGGTGCCAGCGACGGATCTGGGGTGCAGACTCGGGGGCATGTTATTCTGTTGAGAACATTGCTTTGAAAACGTATCTTAACAGTCTTAAACCTCCCATGGTGTGGCTGAGGTAAATGTGCTGTCTCTTATACACATCTAGATGTGTCTAAGAGACAGTGTACATACCGTA